GATGCATGCTTATTTTTATGAAACCTTAAGATACCTCTTCCTGCATTCTTCCTCTACCAAAGTATGACTTCTCTTGGGAGTTCAAAATCAGTAAGTCTCCCATCTTATAAATTAACCTAATTTAACGTAAAACAGTAGAGGCAGAAAGGATATGGGAAAGAAAGGAACCATCTGCCCTCTTCAGGGATATGCTGTCGGTTTGCTATTATTGTTTTAAGTGCATCCCTGCATGCCCAAACAGATCATTAAATCTCTTCTAAAATGATGCGGCAACAAATTATTACTACAATGTGCACTCTGCATGAGTAATTTATGGGTGGGATGGTGAGAATTTCACTAGGTGGATGCCAGCCTGCCACATCATTTTGTTAAAAAAATACTCCAAATAGAAAACATGACTTCATTGATATGGTGTGAATTAGTTATTCTTTCGATTTTCATTTGCAAGCTTTCTCAATCCAAATTAAAATTCAGTGCGCTATCGGTCATCTCCTAGGAGCAGCTGGAGCTGTTGAAGCAATTTTTACCGTTTTAGCCATGCATCATGTAAGACATTTTGAAGAATTATCTACTTTATATTCTGCTAAAGAACTTTCAAATAGTTATTAATGGCACAGGACTTTTCAGAAAGCTCACTAGAAATCTATACTAACAAGTACTTTCAACATGAGTGAAGTTGTGAAGGTGTGCGTGATTATGTGCCTGATTTTATCAGCTGCCTTCCTTTCTCATAATAATTATGTGGAACTTAGCGGAAAACCTGGAATTTAGGTCATGTTTGGTTCAATGGATATTCTCTGATAAAAATATGACAATAAGATTAAGTGGAAGAGACTAACCATGAGCGATGGATCCCATTAGCTATTACCACTTCTCCCTAAGTTTTAGTTATTCTTGTCCTATTACCACTTAATTAGTAAAAAAAAAAAAAAAAAAGGAAAAAAGGGAAGGCAGAGGCGTGGAAATGGAATAGCGATTCCCAGCCTAGTTTGCCACTTTCTTGTTCACTTCACCTTCTTTTCATAAAAAATCAATGTAAATGAACCAGATCCCACTTTGGTAAAGATTTTTTGGGATAAAAATAACCATTCCATTAAAGGTTAAATGCTAGATTTGGTCCCTCAACTTTAGTGGTTTGCACATTTTTGGTCCCTTAACAATTTTTTGTATTTTTTTGATCCCTTAACTATACGAAATGCACTCCGTTAGTCCTTCTGTTAATTTCGATTGTTAACTCCCTCACGTGACATTTTTTATTATTTTTTTGATGACATGGCAAAAGCAAATTGAAAACATGTTGACGTGGAATTTTTTTTCATGCCAACTCACATTATTATCATTA